ACTTTAAAATTTCCCCCCCCCCCCCCCCCCCTGCCTTTCCTCTGGATTGAGTGAATTCAGCCTCTCAAAATTTGCATTGGGTCTCCAGGCTTCACTTTCATCATAAAGATACTGTAGTAATTTAGGATTTCATGTTCAATTTGTGTCATTAGTCAAATTACCCCCCACCGTAGGTCTGTCTATGCAATTTTTTCTTCTGTGAGCATTGGCAATTCTGTGAAAGTACTTTGTGATCTCCTTCCTTCAACCATAGACACCTAGACTTTTGCCTTCAAGATATCTCTTCTACTAAAGCAATATGCTTCAACTCAAGTTGCAAATTGAAAGATTTTAGCTTTCTTCTGAAGCGGGTGTTCTCTGATCTGCAGTTCGATCAAGTTTAGCTAGTTCATTAAGTGCCATGCTCCTCTTGGTCTCATTCTTGTGATAGCCTTCATTGTTCCATTCTGTGATTCTTTTTGAGTAGTCTTATTTTCTGGATGAGAATAAAGCTACGGGTGCCTCTGACTGTGTAAGATTGCCACCAATGCTTGACCAACTCCAAGAAAACATTTGATTGAAGCCACATGTTTTCAAACTTGAAAACCTCCAAATCCCTACTTGCAAGTACAATGGGCTTATGATCTGAAACTACTCTTGCCAGTGCATACTGATGTACATCCTTGAAAATATCACTCCATTCAGGTGAGATCATATAGCTATCAATTTGAGGCCTGAGATTATCCTCTTGACTGTGTATTGGGCACCCTGGAGTGGAAAGGTTTATCAGATCAGGTCTAGGATTGTGTCTGAGAAGTCCTTTATTGCCTTGGATCTATCTTGTGCATAGGAGTCTCTCACTCTCTTATCTACAAACATTGAAATCACCACCAATTACCCAATGATCAGGCCGTGAACCCCTAATTGCAGCCAATTCATTCCATAGGTCAGATCTTTTTGGATTAGTATGGGAGCCATAAACACCTGTGAATACCCATTTGAAGTCATCAGAAAGACTTTGAGATCTACATGAAGTTGAAAAGGATCCAGTCTGGCTGTCCACACACTGCCAAGATCTTTCATCTCACATGATAATGATACCCCCCCTACTGCTACAAGCTTTTGGGTCATCAAAAGAAATCCATCTCTTCCCCCAAATCTTTCTTATCCATGAAATGCACCGGTCTTTAATTTTGGTCTCTTGGAGACATAGGATATCCACCTTAATAAGCAAGATAGATTCTAAAGTGCTTCTCTTATTCTTGTCATTTAACCCCTGAACATTCCAGCTTAAAATCTTCACTTTCATTTCTATCGCGATTTGTGATGCCTGTCCCTGTTTCTCTGGTAACTACCTTGTTATACTCTCCATGATAAATTCTACAGTTCCAATTCCCCTTTGGACTTCCCTCTCCTAGTGCTCGGGGGTAATTTTCCCTGCGACTGCATCTGTGGTTTCCTTCTCTCCTCCATTCTTAAAATAATTCCCAGAATAATGTTTGTGTGGCTCTCCTCTTCTCTTTTCATTTATTATGTTCCTTTCTCTCTTTTTTTCGGTTTTCTTGTTTTTGGTCCAAATTCATTTGACGGAACTCTCTGCATGTATTCCTTTATGTCGAAAGTCATAAGCTCTAGCCATAGTAGTTCGACTTTGTTCATAAGAACTCAAATTATTGATGGTCAAAAAGTTCCCTTCTCGTAACAGGTGAAGCTTAGAAAGTCCATATGTGCACAGAATTAAGAATCCTGGGAAATTAATCTTCACACTAGTTAATGTAAAGAGACATCGTTTGACCACAGAAACTATGTCATACTATCTTCCATTGTCTTGCACTAGGCAATTATTTATCCAATGCCTAGCCTAGAGTTGGCAAAATTGATACACTCTCCACAACTGTCATCCAACAGGTCCAAGATCAGTAGATAACAGTTAATTGATGAGAATTCCATTTTCTGATTGATACTGTTAATTTACAATGATTCCAAATTCCTATTGGATGTCTCTTTTCCAACAATGTTGTTGGGATCTGAAAATACTTTCCTTTTGAACCTCTAAGGAATAGTTCAACTGCAGTGCTACAATGGCAAATTGAGTTTAGGAGCACAGATTGCTAGTTCACTCTTTTAGATAGACTTTAATGTTTTTGAAGCTATGTTGCTTGTAATCTTTTGTTTCTACTACTCAAGCCACTTGGGTGGTTGTATTGGATGGAGAAGTGAAATTGGACCTGGTAAGCATCAATGCTTTACTAATAGCAGTGGATCACTGGAAATGCCACTAATCCTAACTCTGTCAACTTATGTACTCCTATTAATTTGCAAATTTTAGGAGTCAGTTGCGTTGGAGAAAATGTGTAAAAATTAGCCTTTCATATTAATTCATTTGTCACTGGAAATGCCAGTGATCCCAACTCTGTCAACTTTTGCATCACGTCGTTTCCATTTATGTTGCACATTTTCTCAAAACTTTTTTTTTTTTGCAGCACATGTATCACGTTGAAGGTGGTTTCAGATAATTCCATATGGGGTTGAAAAACTTGCCAAAAGCAAATGAATTTTGTTGGTAATTCTGATGTTACAGTGTTAAACTTTTGTTTTAAACTATACTCTGGGGAAAATAAACTGTCCTAATGCTCTGAGTAGCTTATTTTGTTCAAACAGCACATGGCTCTACAAAATACTATTATAATCTCTTGTGCGTGTGAAGTATTGGGCCTATATTTTGGTGATCTGCCCTATCTGCTTATATTTTAATTGGTTGGGTGAGTGAGCGAGCTTGCTTTTTAGATGGATAAAATATAGGTCGGTCTAAATTCATATTTAACTCATAATAAAAATATGGATACTAATGGATAAAATATGAGTTGGACAAATAAGTTTCGATTTCAATTTTTATTCACTCAAAATTGATGATATATTACCAAAAATGTTGCAACTTTCTTCCTTTTTATGTTCTCTAATAAAATTAATTGTTCTTGTCTGTAATTGGAAAGGTGGAATCTATAATGTAAAATTCTTTCGTTAACTATAAAAAAAAATTATTTGTTCAATTTTATATGAGATAAAAAATAATAGTGTAAAGTAAGCAAATTGTATGTTAGTATTGATAAGCTTCAAGTGCATTAAGCATGTTTTACTTCTAAAATGTAAATATTCATTTACATTGAAATTAAAAAAAATTGCCCCGTTGTTATTAGACACATCTATTTTATATTGAAAAATTGTAAAACCTCCCTTTTGACTTCATGATACAGTAAAATTAAATAAAATATTTACAACATTTTTAGTCCAAAAGATACTACAATGAATTTTCTTGATATTGAACGTATTTTTATCCCTAAGAAATAGGTCCAACTACTATCCATTTTATGTTAGACTATTTTTGACCGTTCAAGTTGATCAATCTGCACATTTGCCGCCAATATGCGTTTGCAAAAGATTCATTCAAGCCCATTATTTTTGTGGGAACTAGCCGGTGGTGTCTGAACCGATTTATATGAACCTCAATTCTGCCAAATTTTCACTCGGGTTAAGTTGAAATTGAGTTAAGTCCTAATTCACTCAAGTTTACTTTGAACTCAATTATATTAGGCTCAATTGAGCTTAAAAATAGATTGGGTCTTGATCCAGTCAATTCAACCCGCTTAATCTCAATAATTTTAATATATTGTTATTTAAATTTTATAACCACAATTTGAATTTTAACTTAAAAAAGTTACTAATAAATAAATAAATTCTAAACAATATAAAATAGATAATAAAATATTAAAACGAATTGAAATTAAAATTTAATTGAACTCAATAGAGAATTTTAAGTAATTCTCTTAAAATGAATTAAGACTTGAATAAGTTAAAATTGAATCCAATACAAATTACCTTAATCCCCTCCTACCCATAAAATTTTGAACGAAGGGAGTGAATTACCTATAATCAAGGTCCTTTTAGAGACTTGTGTCTCACTGGCATCATTATTATTTTAAAACTGCCCAACTATTTATAACTTATCCTAGGTCACTAATTTTAAAAAAGTCCCATCTTTTTTTGAATTTTGTGCTAGCCAACCACGAAATTTTCTCTGCCTATTTATCCCCAACCCGATCAAGTGTTAAAAAATAAAACGTAGTAACAACATCACAGAGTATTTACATTGAGCAACCAACAACACTTGCAACAATAATGATCTCATATTAGATGTCCATTTAAAATGGAAGAAACGTTAATTAAATTTTTCCTATGAGTGAATTAGTAGAATTATTTTTTTATTTATAATTTCTTAGTATAAGTCTGAAAAAAGTAATCAACTTAAAAAAGAAAGTCGTCTGAAAAAAAGTGTATATAGGACAATTGAACGGTTGGAGTATTATAGTTATATAAATGGAGGGACTATTAAGAACATTAAGAAAATAAAAAGAAGGCAGAATAAGAAATTAAAATAGTATTTATTGGAGAATACAGAGAGTATTATACTATCCAACCAAGACATAGAGTGCATAAATAATGCCCGGTATGTATCCCAGTATTGTCAGCAACACACAAATCCAAAACTCCACCTGCATGCATTAATAATACATCAGCAGAATTCCTAATACAATAGCATCTCCTAATATATGCTATGCACATGAAATTAAAATGAAAATTTTGAAAGATGTCTATTATTCCTTCAAATTAGTCACATGCAATCCATACTCTTACAATTGTATATGTAAGTTCTACACTTAAACCTGCATAAAATTAAACAAATAAACGCATTCCTTGTACGTAGCGTCCTATACTTTTATGTTCCATGTATGTGGCACCCTACATTGTATTATATAATTGTTCAATTTTATATAAATTTAAGTATCGAATTATGCACATCCGAAGTTGTTAGACATAAATATCAACTATGTATTGTATCTAATAACAATTACTCAATTTAAGTAGTGATGGATGTAATTAAAAAAGATGTATGTTGTTTAATTAGGGAAAAAAGAGGACTTACACCACAGCCATATCGTAGGAAAACACCAACAGGAGGAAGTAAGATAGCAAGGATGACTTCAAGAAATGTTTCAGAACCCATTCTTTTTTTTTTTCTATAAAAAAAACTTCGAGAATTAAAAAGAAGAAGTGAATGAAGGAGTTCATTACGAGGGGAGATATATGATGATATGCACAATATTTGTGTCGGCTAATAAAGGCTTAAGCACACACGTGGAAGCACATCAACACGTGGGATCATATGCTTGCCTTTATGTGTCTTTTCGTTTCCAACCTCTTTTTTTAAAAAAAATAAAATCAAAGTCGATCCACCTATCCGTCTTTCTTTTACTGTTATATCAGAAGTTACTTCATATATTACTTGACAATTGACATAAAATGAATTTATTTTTGCCTTTTGTTAGATCTTTTTCATGACTCGATAGATAAATTGATAAGCTAATAAAAAATTTTCCATGTTTTAAAATACGATATCCATCACTTTTGAATGCAATCTATATAAAAGCCCGGTGTATGTTATTTTATTTATATGATCTTATATATCATATATTTATATAAAAGAGTACTCTAGGTCTGCCTACGTGGCGCCACCATAAGCTAGAATTTCCTTTTAAATTTATTTATTTTTAAAAATAGTCTTCCCCTTTCATGAAAAGATGTAACTTTTATGAAAAGTTATGCCTTTTATATAAAGTTGCGACTTTTATGAAAAAATGTGATTTTTATGAAAGGTTGTGACCTTTTCGAAGGGTTGTGACTTTTCCAAAGAGTTGTGGCTTTTCCGATAAGGCACAATAAGTATTTGTTCACACTACCCTTTGTTGTCTATAAATAGAGGAATTTCGTCTCATTTTAAAACAACGTAAATTCTGAACTTTTTCTTCTTCTTCTACACAATTAAATATTCGTGTACTTTTCCTGTTGAGTGACTCACTGACACCATTATTTTTGTATAATACACTTGTGAATAGAATCGTTCCATCCTGAGAGGATCTATTCCTTTAAACCTCAGGTACTAGAGGAGAATGATTTCCTTAATGGGACACTTTGCATTCAATGGGCACAATTTTTTCCTTTCTGTTTCATTCTATTGTTATAGATCCTGGTATATTTTTTTACATTCATGAATTTATGCTTATGATATTAATTATTATTTTTTAGTACATGTTTTAAACTTTGTTGTTTATGTTTCTGCAAAGTTAATTCTATAAGTATTTGTTAGTGCATATAAAGATTATTTATTTATTAGAAAATTTAATATCTCATGTTGATGTTCATCTAATTTCCCAAAATATCAAATAGTAACACTTCCGGGAGGCAAAAGGATAAATTATAAAATCAAATTAAAGATGATTGATTGAAGGATAGATGAAAAGATGTTATAATTATCATTTTCCTTTACATTATTAATGTTCGTTACTACGTAGTCTTGTATGTAAGATAATATAGTGTTTTAGTTTTGATGACCGATAGGTTTTTTAAGTATTATTTTATAAATACTGCAATATTAAATTTCCGCGCGAAGCGCGAATAATTTTACTAGGCGCCACCACAAACAAGGATTCCCTTTTAATTTAATTTATTTCCAAAACTAGCTTTCCCCTTTCATGAAAAGTTGTGACTTTTATGAAATGTTGCGACTTTTACGAAAGATTGTGACGTTTATGAAAGGTTGTGACCTTTCCGAAGGGTTGTGACTTTTCCAAAGAGTTGTGACATTTTCGATAAGGCACAATAAGCATTTGTTCACACTACCCTTTGATGTCTATAAATAGAGGGATTTCCTCTCATTTTAAAACAACGAAAATTCTGAACTACTTCTTTTTCTGCACAATTAAATATTTGTGTATTTTGCTCTTATTGAGTGACTTACTGACACTATTGTTTTTGTATCAATACATTGGTGAATAAAATCGTTCCATCCTGAGAGAATCTAATTCTTTAAACCTCAGGTATTAGATGGGAATAGTTTTCTTTAGGTGTAACAAATCGGAAAATTAGTAAGTGAACTAGAGCCTAAATGTGAGGGTTAACGTCAAGGGTTAAGGGCAAGGGCTAAGGGTTTTGGGTGAAGGCGGACCAAGGCTTCCTAAAACTAGGCCTAGCCACTACCTACCAAGACCACGAGGGTCTTCACCACCCATGGTGGCCATCACGAGTCGTGGTGCCACCCGTGGTTGGCAAGGCAGTGTGCCCTAGAAAGGTGCCAAGACAAGGCTCCCCTTCACGAGCCACTTCACGGCTCGTGGTCATGACCAAGGGCCATGGGAAGGCTCGTGGGGTTGCCTTTGCCTTGGGGGAGAATTTCAAGATGAGGGAGCTACTGTTCAAGGGACCACGGGTCGTGGTGTCCTTGACTAGGCGTGAAGGTGGTCGTGAAGACCACTTAGGCGCAATGGGAGGCAAGGCTTCAAGGCCTTGGCACTGCCTCAAGACCACGACTCCTAGTCTTGACCACTGATCGTGGGAGGTCTCGTGGTCATGTCTTAGGCCCTTGAAGGCTTGGCATGTTGAGGAAGGCTACTGCCTAAGGGACCATGGGAACCACCACGAGCCGTGGTCCCCTTCACGACCCGTCCAAGTGGGCGTGGTCCCTGACGAGGATGCCTAAGTTGAGGGGTTTTAGGTAATTTCATTTTAATTAATTATTATGTGGGGTCATTCTTAATAGTTTTATATCACTTATATAAATAGCTTTAAGTCTTAAAAGACTTCATTTACCCCTTTATTCTTCAAAACCCAAATCAAA